ATAACTATTAATATTAAAAAAATTTAATTTATACTTTAACAATACATGTTAAAAAATATGAATACAGATTTAAAAAAGGGGATTTAAAGTAAGCGTCTGAATTAATGATTCGTTGATTCGAGTAAAAAAAAATTTAGTTCTTTTTAAGTAAAGTTTTGAATTTAAATTTTATGAGTAAAAAAATAGTTATTGAAAGAATATTTTTTTTATGAAGTCTAACTTAATTCGATTTTGAATTAATTAAAATTTAATATAATTACTGAAATATTAAAAAATTAATTTAAAAAAAAAAAAAAAGAAGCGAACGTCTAAAATAAAAGGTGCACCTTTTTCAACTGCTTATAACCAGTGGGCCTTAGAGTGCAGGGGCGATGAATCCTTTACATGTTACAATCGCTGCTTTTCCAGCCGAGTAAGTTTTTCCCTGAAGCTTGATATGACGTCTCTGGCCTTTGTTACTGGGCTTTTGGACTTCTAACCCATTCCATCCCCACCTTCTAACAAAACGCCAAACAACCCATCAAAATTTCCGTGTAAGATTGTACAAAACTACAGGTGCCCATGGTTTTTTGGGTCCCCATGTCTGCCTAGACTCTATACCTTGTAATGATAGGCTGGTTGACAGGACGCAGAATACTAGGGGACTGTTTGTTCAATAATACACAATTGTCGTTTAATATTACAGGAAGCTTTTCACGTTTGGGTTCATCGTCATATGCTTCTGGAAAATTTTGGGCTGCTTAATCTTGTGAATGGAATTCTTGAGTTCACACCGACTAAATAATTTTCTCTATGTTAGGGATGAAGTGATTTCCAGTCTCGTTTCTCTTTGCAGTGCACATGGATGGGGATAATTGTTTTTATGGTATTGCTTAATTTTTTTTTAAGAAGAACAATGTTTAAAGGTATTAAAATATTAAAAGTGTTAGTGGGTAAGGAGAGTATTGAATTCGAGACATGAAATACAAATTATGATCTGTCCCAAAAAATAGTAAGTAACTGTTGAGTCACGCACGTGGAATGCGGTATTGCTTAATTTGGAGTGTACTTATTATCATTTATTATTTTATTAAAGTTATTTAATTTTATTTATTTTAATGTATTTTATAAATTAATATTTTTATATATTATAATTTGTAATATAAATAGATAAAATATCAATTAAATTAAATTAAATTTTAGCTACTCCCTTTCTTCTCTCATCCTGATTTTTATTTGTTTTTCTTTCTCATTCTCTCCCATT